CCCCCCCCCGCCCCCCCCCCAAAAAAAAAAAAAAAAGAATTCTCTGGGGACAGGTTTCACAGCCTCTGAGGAATCCCAAAACACACCCATGGCCTCCACTGAAACTTTACTGAGTGACTTTATCTGACCACATTAGAGGGTGCTTTCTAGGGGTCAGGTTTTCAGTGTCCTCTACACTCATTGTTCTCTGGCTATTTTCCTGGATGCTATTGGGCTCACCCAGCCAACATTGGCTGCTTTTCTAGGCTGACTACCACTAGCCTACAGCCAAGAGTAAGGAGGTGGTGTCTCATGTGATGTGAGCACAGCACAGGCTTCTTTCTCCTCAAGTTCTTCAGCGCTGAATGTGGGGTTAGGGTAGGCTAGACCCATAGAGCAAGGCATGCTTGCTTTTCTTTCAGAGAGAGGAGTTCAGCTCTTTGCTAGATTCTGCCCCTCATTTGGGTCACTGGTGTTCAGAGCAGCTGACTGGCAGAGTAATTCCCAAGCTGGACTTGCTGCTGTGGGCTGCTTGGCTCCAACAACTGCTGTCACCTTGCTGACTATGTCCATGACATTCCAGAAATCCCAGATGACCCCGAACATCTACATCTACAGTGCCCTTATCAATGCGGCCCTCAAGAGGCTGGACTATGCTTACCTCATTGACATCCTGAAGGACATGAGGCAGAACCAAGTCCCAGTGAACGAAGTGGTCATTCGCCAGCTGGAGTTCGCAGCCGAGTACCCACCCACCTTTGATCGGGTATGTGCACCAGCTCTGAAAGCTCATTCTCTTAACCGTCACCACCCCATTCCCATGCTGATTTGGCTTTTGGGGATTAACATTCCCTTGCTTAAAACTGTCCAATGACTTCCCTTAGGAGAATCCCAAAGTTCTTAAACCACAGCCTGCAAGTCTTGTCCACTTCTTCTTACCTTAACTCACTTCTTACCTCAGAAGGTACTTCTTACCATTCCTCCCTTGAGAACTCTATTATTCTTACCAGCTTCTTTGCTAATAGAGGGCATATGCATTTCCTCGCATTTCACATGACTGGCTTCTTTTTTTTGGAGAGGATATTGCTATAGAGTGTGTGCACTCGCCAGAAAGACAGAAACAGACAGAAAGACAGAAAGACAGAAATCGCCCCCAAGGGGCGATGGCCATGCCACAATCCCTTCTCCATTCTCCTCTCGGGATCTTGGGCATGCACACACATGCGCCGGGTCTGGGACTCGAACTGTGATTGACAACATGGAAATCCAGTGACATGGCCACTATGCCAACTGCTAGTTCACATGACTGGCTTCTTCTATAGGTTGTTTAAATGGCTTACACTCAGAAATGCCCTGTGGCTGCCTCCCCCAACCAGTCTGAAAGTCTCCCCTCCCCACTATCTACAGCCCTATTTTTCTGTACCATGTTTTACAATCTAGAAAAACGTGTTCACGTGTGAGTCTCACCTCTGTTATATCATAGCTTCTACAGGTGGAGACCCTATCTACAATACTTTGCTCTTCTGGGCCCTGGTTTCACATGTTGCCCAAAGCTTAGTCTGTAATGTGGTTTGTTCTGCGAATGAGTAGTGGACAGAGAGTTGGAGTTCATTTTGTGATGGCCAGACATTCTTTTCCTGCTGTTCTGAGGACATCAGGCTGTACTCTTTGGCTTTTGGGTCTATTGAATCAGACCCTGTCTACCTCCAGAGCAACTGAGGCTTGGGAGAGCACCGCCTAAGTGGAAAGGGAGGCAGTTGGCAGGGACATGCAGAGCCGTGGATTTGAGTGTCTGTGATGGTCTAACACTTTCGTGCTACTTTGAAGGCTTAGTAGGAATGAGTAGGACAGCAGAGGAGAGCGTGTCAGGTTAGGGTGCAGCAATGTCTTAGTCCATTGTGTTGTGTTGCTGTAACAAGAGACTTGAGACTGGGTAATTCATAAGGAAAAGAGGTTACTTTACTTGGCTCACAGTTCCAGTTGCTAGAAAGTCTCGAGTTCAAAGCCAGTGTCTGGCTTTGGCGCTGCATCACAATGTGGCTGGCACAGGCAGGAGGGAAAGTGGGCATGTGTCGTAGTAAATGCAAGCCTGGGAACAGCCGATTTGTATTTATATAAACTCACTCTTATAGGAACTAACCAGTGGGAACTCGCTCCCTCCCCAGAGACAGCATTAATTATTCATGAAGAATCTTTATGTCCCAAGTACATCTCACTAGGCCTCACCACCTAACACTGTCCCATTAGATGTCAGGTTACAACCTAAGTTGCCCAAATCTCTCACTGGGCATCTTTGAACTGTTGGTTGTTAGTCTTTTCTCATTGTTTCCTCAGAATTCTTTTTTGTTTTTGCTATAGGGTGTATGCCTTTGCCAGAAAGAGACAGAGAGAGGAAAAAAGAGGGTTTGGGGCTGGTAGGTGGTGAAGTGGTTAAGGTGCTGGGCTCCCACATGGCCGACTGTGGTTTGAGTCGCCCGGACCTGGCAGTTTGCTTTCTTACTTTCCCCTTCTTTTGCTCACTCTGTATCTTTGGTCAAATTAAAAAATAAATAACAAGCAATTTTTTTTTTAAAAAAAGGAAGAAAGAGGGTTAAGTCAGACATCAATCCCTTATCCCATGGGATGGCCATACTGTGGTTCTATTTCCTCCATTCTCCTCTCAAGATTTTGGGCACACATGCCTGGCATGTTTTTCAAGCTATCAAGTCCAGATACAAACTGTGGTTGGCCATGTGGAATCCAGCTACTTTAATCACTATGCCATGGCCCAGAGTTCTTTTGTTTTACTTTTTATTGGGTACATGCTGCAAATATCTTCTAGTTAGTAGATTGTCTCATCACTCTATTGTGCAAGGTTCATGAAGGGTCTTACTAGGTTCAACTTAACAGAACTATCATAGGCCTAATGCTTATTGTATTCACATTACTCATTATTCCCTTATGATGGTGGGCTTGTTTATACAGTAGGCCCTGTATCCTCAGGCTCTGTACTCAGAACAACTGCAGATCAGATTTCCATCGTATCTTCAGAAACCATGGATCGGAAGGACTTACTCAAAAGATTTGAGCTTCAGATTTTCATATCTGAGGGGAGCCCTGAAACCATTCCCCCTTGGATACTGTGGGATGATTGTGATTCTGTCAAGTTTTGCTTTATGTATTTTCAGACTGTATTAGGTATAGGCTCTATTAGGTACTTTTGAGTTTAGAATTGAATCAAATTTTTATCATTATGTGATAAACCTTTACTTGTATTAATTTGTTGTCTGTTTTCTTCTATATATTCCCTGACCAGCTTTCTGCTGCTGTCTGTCTGGTACATCATTTCTCTTCTTCCTACCTCTCCACTGAGGCCATCTAAGCAGTGCTAAGATGATGAGTCAGAGGGGAAATGGTGGCTGTGCCAAGGGAGAGGTGCTAAGCAGGTTGGAGAGGCAGAGTTGGTAGGACCTCACAATGTGAGCATCCCTGGCTAGAGAAGCACAGTGGTGTATATTTAGGAAGAGTGACATATTTAGGCACATGGGAATTGGAGCTGCCCCAAGGTGCAGCAACCCTACCTGGAATTTTTTTTTTTTATGGTTACCTGCTCCCGTATTGATCATTAACAGCTTTTCTGCCCTGTCTCTGTAGCTACCTAGAAGGCAGAGTAGGAAGGACCACCTCCCCTGAGGCCTGAACCAAGCTGGTATGGTTTGGGATGAGATGTAGGAAATGTGCCATGATTCTGATCAGAGGACCTCTGACTCCTAACCCAATGCCTTTCCAATTACAGTACAAAGGGAAGAACACTTATTTGGAGAAGATTGATGGTTTCCGAGCTTATTACAAGCAGTGGCTGAAAGTGATGCCAGCAGAGGAAACTCCCCACCCCTGGGAAAAGTTCCAGACCAAGCCCAAGGGAAAACAAGATACCGTCACAGAAGCTAATGTGGATGGAGACCTGGGGAGCAGGTGAAAAAGTGGAACAAAGCAAGCACCCAGCGAGAGCCTGAGTCCCTTCCATATTAAAAACTAGTGAATGTGCTGGTGTCAACTCATGCACGAGGGAAAGGCCAGGCCCAGAGGAAGAGCTGCAGTATTTTCCAGGCATTGGTATGAGGACAAATGCTGGGCCCACGGTGCTCAAGTTCAGAGCAGGTCCAACAGCAGCCTAGGGCACCTTTACACATCATCTGGGGTCATCCTTGCCAGAGAGGTGTCATCCCCATTGCCAGTGAGGAAAGAAACTTGTTCATGGTCACAAGGCACCTATAACGTGGAGCCAGGAGAGTCCCAAGGTGTTTGGTCTCGAGGCCTGGCACTCTCCCCTAGGGCCCAAACTGCTGCTTTGAAAGAACAATGCAAGCCTAAGAGTTTAAAGGTTTTATTTCTACAAATCACACCTGATGAACATCAAAGCTTTCACCTGTAGAGACCATGCTCCAACTCAGGCCTGGGCACTGCTTAGTGAGAACTGCTCCCAGGAAAAAAGGTGGCATGACAGGTAGGAACCTGCAAAGTCCAAAGTTCAGGGTGGAGAAGGGTCCGGGCCGGACAGTCTCAGCCAGAGCAACCATGGCAGCCACAGTGTGTGCATTCGATGATGCGGCCCACTTCCAGCTTGCTTTTGGGAACCCGGCAAATGCAGTTTGTCCCAAAATTGGTGTCCCATGTTTGAATGCACTGCAGACAGCATAGGTTTTCATGCGGCCCTGCAACAGAGGACAGCTCAGACACTGCACACAGTTCTGCACACCCACATACAGCAATCTTTTGGCTGAGGAGGTTCCAATAGGACGTTTCCTCCACAACACACCTCAGAAACCCTTCTTTGACAAGTGTGGACAAGAGAAATTAGGTCTCTAATGGAGGTAGAAACAGTTGCTGTCAACACTGAAGTTATAACTGTGTGTGTTTCATTTCTGCAAATCCATCATATACACTGAGTCTTAGTATTCCACTAAGTAAGCAGGACATTGCTGTAGTGAGCTGAGGGGAACCTGCTACTGCTTGAGGTGCTCATTGCCAGGGATATCTGGTGAGGAGTGAGCATAGGGAGAGAAAGGCATACACTTGAGTTTCAATGGCCAGAAGTACAGTTTTGTGCCCAATGCCCGGTGTGGCCTTATATCGGCTGGGAGCCTACCCAGGAAACAGTTACAGAACAGTGGTTTGTATTTATTTTATCTTTTCATACTTTCTATTTCTGATGAGTAAGACCTTGGTCTAAACAAACAAGATCCTCTGATGAAATCCAGCTAACTCTAAAGCAGTTTCTTTGTGGTCACAGGGCTGAGGCCCCCAAAGCCAGATACCCCCATGAATTCTTGGGATTCTAAGGAAGGGAGCTTCTACCATTCTGCCACCCTCCCTTGCCTCCACCCAAAAATCAACTTATCTCCAAGAGGCAGCCCTCACACACACTACTGTTCAGTACATCCATCTTTGTACTTCTAGATGGTACAGGGAGAGACACTGCCTACTCAATTAAAAATGAACACTCAGACAAAGCTCTGTAAGTTGTACCTCTCTGAAACGTGAAGGGAGCAGAGTCATGAAGCACCTGTGTAAAGTGAGGAAAAAGCTCCTAAGCTAGGAGATGGGCCATCTGGTCTGATCTCCCGGCTGCGACAAGGACTGCACTAAATGGCCACTTCATGGGCAACATGCCAGAAATGTTTTTCCATCTCATTCTACAGCTCCATTTCAGAGGAGCTTGAACCCTGAGCTCAGCTACTGCAGATCAGAGATGCCCAGCCAGTTTTGGAATAGAAAGTTCTGACAGAAATGCAGTGATGGTAACATAGGAGTGCCATCATGAGAATAGAGGGACAGGGTTAGGAACCTCCTGCTGACTGGCCACCCTTTTAATCAGCAACCCCCTACCTTGGGGTGGGTATCTTCACTGCCATGTCCTAAGTGAGAAGTTCAGCAATTCACGTGAAGATGGGGTTGAGACTAGCCTCTAAACCTATCAAACACCACTGATTACAGTCAAACTCTACCTAGGACAGGTTTCTAAACAGAAGGGCTAACTCCTAGGAGGGATGGCTGGTAGAATGTTCAGCCATAAAACCAAATCCCTCCCTCCCAGGTCCTATAAAATCCCTTGGGAGTGACTAGGACAGAATTTTAAACTGAGAATAACATCAAACTCAATTGTTAAGACATTACCACTTCCAGTTTGCTTTTGGGAACCCGGCAAATGCAGTTTGTCCCAAAATTGGTGTCCCGTGTTTGAATGCACCGCAGGCAGCACAGGTTTTCATAGCCTTGCTTTTTCCATTTTGCAATCAGATTTTTGTCTGCATAGCCTTCTTTGATACAGTATTCATATAATTCTTTTAAAAAAGATGGAGAAGGGGCAGACATCAGACGATGGTGTAACAAACTTTCTCTATCCTGTGGTATCATCACTCTTGATTAAAAAAAGCATTTAGGGGCTAGCCAGTGGCATGGCCGACTTCACAGTTTAAGTCCTGGACCCATGCAGGGTGGGTGGGTCTGTGTGTATCCCACAAATCCCAAGAGAGTGGAGAAGAAGGAACTGCGATATGGCCATCCCACCTGGGGGGTGATTTCTCACTTTGTCTCCCCCGAAAAACATGCATGCCCTATGGCAAAAATCTTTAAAAAGAAGAAAAAAGGGAGACCAGCAAGTGGTATAGTGGTTAAGGCGCTGGACTCCCACATGGCCAACTGCAGTTTAAGTCCCAGACCTGGTAGCCTGAAAATCACACTGGGTGCATGTGTATGCATGCCCAAAATCCCAAGAGGAAAATGGAGAAGGGACTGCAGCATGGCCATACTCCCTGGGGGGTGATTTCTCACATTCCCTCTCTGCTTCTGTCTCTCCCATGAGTGCAATGTGACCTATAGCAACAATAATAACAACTTTACTAACACTGACCCCTCCCTATTTTATAGTGGTAAGAAAAATCACGATGCTTGCTGAGGTTGCAATAAGGACCATTACTTAAATAACTCTGAAAGCTACTCAGGCTCAAAGAGTCAGGAGACAATCTGGCCAGTTACCTCTGCTTATCGCTTTCCGCTTGTAAAAGAGGTCAAAGATATAACGGGTTTTCTGGTGATGGATCCTGAAAATGGGCCACAGAGATTCCACTTTCCTCTTTACCTCATGAGGTTCTGGTTCAGCTGTGGGAAAAAAGTGTATTTGCATTTTAGTTTGTACAAGATGGGAGTCTTTTATTTTTTAGTAACTAAGAAAATAAATTCCACTAGGATGGCTATAAACAAATGATGGATGTGGAGGAGTTGGAACTCTCATACAGTGCTAGTGAGAATGTAAAATGGTGCAGCTCCTGTGGAAAACAATTTGGTGGTTCCTCAAGAAGTTAAGGACGTAGTTACTCTATGACCCAGTCGCAGTTCCACTCCTAGATGAATACCAAAGAGAAGTGAAGACAATGTACACACACAAACTTGTACATGAACGGTCTGAGGACCCCTAAAATGGAAACAATCCAAATGTCCATTGGTGGATGAATAAAAAGAAATGTGGCTTAAAAAATATTCTACACAATGGAACATTATTCAGCCATGTAAATGACTGAAGTACTGATACATGCTACATCATGGATAAATCCTGAAATGTGGTAAAATTGACTATAGTGATGGTTGACTAACTCTGAATATACTAAAAATTTCTTACCTGGAAACTGTAAAGAGTAAACTTTTCAGACTGATTTATGTATAAATAAAACTGTTATGGGGGCTAGCAGGTGGCGTGGAGGTTAAGGGCAATGGACTCCCACATGGCATACCATGGTTGGAGTCCCAAACCTGGCGGCTTGCTTTCTCACTTTCTCTTACTCTCTCTGGTGAATTCAAAATAAATAAATAATAATAAATAAATGGATACATTTAAATAATTCTTAAAAAAAAAAGAGAGAGAGAAAATCTGTTCTGTTAAAAAAAAAAAGGGACCAGCAGATGGTGTAATGGTTATGTTGCTGGACTCCCACATAGTTGTCTGTGGTTCAAGTCCTGGAATTGGCGGCTTCCAACTCACGCTAGGTGCATGTGTGCCCAAAATCCTGAGAGAAGACTGGAGGAGAAGGGGCTGCAGCATGGCTATCCCCCCTGGGGAGTGACTTCTTGCTTTCTGTCTCTATCTCTCTGGTGAGTGCACGTGCTCTACAGCAAAAATCTCTCTTTAAAAAAGAAAGTGGGGGGGACTAATGGGGTGTGGTGATTAAGTGGACTTTCACATGGCCGACCATGGTTCAAGTACCAGACCTGGTGGCTTGAAACTCACGATATTTGCATGTGCATGCCCAAAATCCTGAGAATAGAATACAAAAGGGATTGTAATGTGGCCATCCTCCTCTACTGTTCAATCTTTCCAGCACTCATGGTATTCTTATCAGTTAATAAACAAACAGAACATATAGATGTTATGATATTCACCTCTTCTCATTATATAACATTTGCATTTGTGCCTGGCCCCTGGCAGTATCTAAACCTGTGACCCTTGGATCCGGCCCACCCAAAGAGGAATTCCCCCATACTTACCTTCTCTCATCTTTTGATCTAATTCATCCAGTGTTGGCTCAATCAACTCCCAGCCATCTGGGGGGGCTTTCCGGCTTCTTTTGACTTTAGGCATTCCCCCCACCACAAGATAATTTGCAAAAATCTGAGGAAAAAAATTAAATGTATTTATTTGTGAATCTTAAATCCCAAAAGGCATTCACTAGCCACTATTTTGGTACATGTTTACTTCCTTGAAACAGGATTGGATAGTAGATATTGCAAAAGAGTTCAGCATCCAGTCTGCTTAGGTTCAAATCCTGGTTCTGCTACTTACTCATTGTGATCTTTAAAAATCTGCTCAACCTCCTTAAATCTGTTTCTTCATCTATAAGATGAGGATAGTAGAACCTATCTTAGGGAGTCATTGTGAAGACTTAATTATAATTGTGTATAATTTGGTCCCAATATAATATGTGCTTTACAGACATATGGTATTATTATTTTTTTTTTGGAGAGATTTTCGCTATAGGGCGCGTGCGCTCGCGAGACAGACAGAGAGAGATATAGAGACAGAAAGTGAGAAATCACCCCCCAGGGGGGATGGTCACGCTGCAATCCCTTCTCCTCCATTCTCCTCTCCGGATCTTGGGCACACATGCACACGTGCCTGGCGTGAGTTTTAAGCCACCGGGTCCGGGATGTGAACCATGGTCGACTACGTGGGAGTCCAGTGACATAGCCATTACGCTAACTGCTGGTTCCCATATGCTATCATTTTTTATATCAACTATAAACCTGGCCCTGTCCTGGAACATAAAGCAAAGAATTAAGACACAGCTTCTGCCCCTTAAGAAGTGACATTTATCAAGGAGACAGACAAGACAAAAAACTTATACTGTAAGGAAAGTCACAACTGGGGAACCAAGAGGATATGTTTAACAGGGAGAAGGCTGTAAAATCCAAGTACCTTAGCTCTGCTTTCCAACAGTCTAATAGATCTCTAGTCTCTGCAGTTACAGGCTTGGATTCTTATTCAGCTCTACCAATTATTCTGGGACTTTAGGTTGGTCACTTTCTCTCTTTGATCCTTGGCCTCATCTGTAAAAATGAGGGCAGTGAGTTAGGCGACTGCCTAAGTTCCTTTTAGACCTAATGAACGAGTAACATAAAGACAAGTCGGGTAAAGCCTATACCATAGACCAATCCACATCTAAAAAGCAAAGCATTTTTCAAACCACGCAGCATAACATAACTCAAGTTCATTATCTTCTACCTTTACGCATAGAAGACTCATCTTTCCCAAATTCATTGAAAAGTCTTTCCCTTTTGTAAGTGCATGATGTTTTACAAAGTGCCCCCCCCCACGTCGCCTACAGTCTCCTCTCTTGAACTCTAAGAATCAAAATCTAGGAGGTAACAATCAGGACTGCATAGCTACGAAGTGGCACAGTCTAACCCTTGGGGCTCCTGACTCCAAAATCAGTAGCCTGGTCTCCGCTGAAGCTAGAGATGGATGGATTCTGGTACCTTTCCCCAGGCGCACCCATAATAAGAGAAGAGCATTCATGGGCTTATGAGCCACTGGGGAAGGTAAAGGTGGGAGGTAACAGCTCAAGAAGAGGTGGCCGGCATTAAAAAAAAAAAAAAAAGTTGGGGCTCTTCGGGAAGGAGTATGTTCAGCTGGAACTGTAGAAAAGGCTCATAAATAGAATGGCCAGGCTTAGAAAAGCAAGCAATATTTACACACGAAACGTTCAGAACGACAGAAAACCGCATGAAAAGCCTACAAACAAAATCTACCATCCCCTAGGCAAGACGAACAAAACGCCGCCCCCTCTCAGGAAGTCATTCCGGCCTATCATTTCTGAAGCCCGAGCCCATCCCAGTGTAACCGTTCAGAGAGCTCTCCCGGCAGTGCAAACCTCCAGTGCTTGGCCTCAGGAGTTGCCAAGGTACTCGAGAACAGAGGAAAAACACTCACCTAAAGGCCCGTACCTGGGGCAGCCGACTACACTATTGACGGCTTCCGCTCAGGCGTTCTCTTCAGGATGTGGTCCTCGTAGAGCCCCGCCCCGTTCACAGAGCGATTGCGTCATCTTAGGTGTCCGAAGCTCGGCCTGTATAGAATTCCAGAGCCTCTTGTTGCCCTTTCTCTTCACTTCCCGGAGGCGGGGGGTGGATGACAGACCCACGCGTTTCTCTAAGCGAGAAGACGGAACTCTGTTGCTCAGGAGCGTGCAGCCGAGCTTGGACTCAGGCGGCGTGCGGGACAGCCCAGATTCGTGCGACGGCCTCTCTGAGGTC